CTATGAGGTTCATGACTTGGTGTATGTTCACTCAATGGAAGGGAAGTCAGTTGGTAGAGTGTTAAGCAGATTTCAACTACTTACTCAAACCTGAAGGTGGAGTACATTGCAACCCTAAAGGCAGCAAAGGAAGCCTTTTGGTTTGATCTCACTGATTTATAGGTTGTGGAGCATACTAGCCTGCCTATCGAGCTATATTGCGACAATAGTGCAGAAGTAGTCCAAACTAATGACCCAAGGTTCCATAGAGGAACAAGGTACACTGAGAGGAAAGTATCATGTCCTACATGATATTGTCCGGCAAGAAAATGTACTCGTGGCTATAACATTGCGTTGGAACATAACTTTGTTGATCCATTAACAAAGGTGTTATGATCAATAGTTTTGATCGTCACCTGAATAACATTGGAGTTAGATGCAATCCGAATTGGCTATGAGGGCAAGTGGGAGTTGTTGGGATTTATATGCCCTGTCATAGCGAATTCCTATTTGGATTAAAGTGACATATGTTCCTAACGTATCTGAAATATTTATACTTTATACAATTGGTGAATTCAATGTATTATGTTTCGATTCATTATGGAATTGACAGTGTCCATTTGATTACAAGAAATATTTATATATGTTTGTGATGGCGATCAATACATGAATATAAATAGTAATCATAAATTGTTCATAGTCGGTAATTATAGATGGACTCATAATTAATTAAGACTTGAACTGGATCTGCGTTAGGTTGACATAGATTGCGAGAGCCATCGTATGCAATTGCTCCCTATCACTGTCATGTCATTTTACTCTTAAGCAAAAGAGAAGTATATAATCTTTTATTAATAAGTAATTACTTTGATTTGTTCGGCAGAATCTTCGGAATCCTTAGACCAGCACTTTGGGTAATTATATAATTAATAGTTAAAAGGTTATATTTTCAATATTTGCATCATGCTAGTTGTATTTATTTTGTATTAATTATGGTTGATCACAAAGTAAATTCGAAGGCCTTCATGTGTTTTTAGACAAAATGATTTATTATATATTTATTTATTTAAATAATTATTTTTGTCAAACAAATGTTTTATTGTGATCAAGTCAGAAATAATTAAAGGTACCAAAATAAATATAATAATTAAGTAGTCGGATTGATGGCTTTATTTATCCGATAACTAATTATGTGTGATACCCCCGAATTTCCGGATGCGGGTTGGCCAGGCCCACGCCCGATAACCCGATGATATCAAATCAATTAGCAATAATCGAACACAGAATACAAATAAGAAAAACAAGAATAAATAAATTGCTGAAAAGAAACTAGAATAATAATCCAAAAACCTCAGAATAAAATTTAATTAACAAAGAATGATTCTGATACATCCTACTTCTCCATTTCTATTACAACTCGGGAATCCATCTAGTGGACCCCTAAAATATCTCACTGAACTTAAAAGATTGGAAATGAAACCCAAGTCTAAAATTTGAAATAAAACCCTGGTCATCGGTGGAGTGAATAACTGTATCTGCTCAGCACGATCCAGCTCCAAGTCTGGAACTAACAAACACCTGTAAAAATAAGAGTGGGTCAGGCCCACATGCAAATTCTTCTCTAACTACAATCCAAACAGTGACTCGATGCGCAGATACACCCTAGATATCTCAACAATAGCTATCTAGTCCATACATATATATATATCCACACTAAGGGACATTCACTGGACTACAGTAGGGGTCTCAACCTGAATAGATGGCAACATGCGAAAACGCACCCAAAGGTGGGCATGAGTACCTAGACTTAACAGGGTACACCTCAACCTACTATAGCCAGCTACGCATCCACTGCATATACGCATCCTAACCAACGAGTCTGAGGCTCAAGCTCATCTCGTGGTACCATAAACATATATATAAAGTTCGTCCAAAACCAGGGTATGTAGTTCAAATATTTATTGAACTGACATACAATAAATAAGCTAGTTAGTCTATCAACTTATTCAGTTGATATGACTTAACTATCATCCATTAATACAGGAAGCCACTCAACTTAGTTGCAGTTGATTTGACTTAACACAATTAGGATTCAATATTTTTAAATCCATTTCTTTAATCCATTAGGTTAGGTTTAGGCGTTTTGAGCTAAACCGTCCCCTAGTATGTCACCGTCCCATACCGGTACATACAATCCTCCATATCCATGTAATTGACAGAATATATTTATTCAGCAATTTAAATCCAAAACTATGTAAAAATTACAGACTATCAATAACAGTACAGCAATTTAATAACTAAAACCAAAAGCCAGGTAATTGCAGAATAGTTTATACAACACTACAGCAATTACAGTTCAAAACCATAATCCAATTACTTGTAAGATAATATCTAAGATCCCACAATTAACATCCAAACCATGTAAATTACAACCTATAAATAACAGTATAGCAATTTACATTCCAAAACCATCCCAAATAATTACAGAAGACTATTTATAGTTTCAGCAATTTAAATCCAAGAGTTAAACCATGTATTTGCAGGAAACGGTTTAAAGGTTCAACAGCTAGCATCCATAGCATGCGTAGATCACATCTAATATATCAATGACTCTATCATGCATTAAAAATAAGTTTTTAAATCACATTATAGTCCCATAAATTGCTAGATTAATTTGAGCAACTTAATTTTCTCCATCAGGTAACCGCGTGCTAAATTGTATACTGATATTCTGTTTAATCTGTTAGCACAGAGCCCCAATAAGCTACAAGTCTAATTGTTATTCAAAAGACTCCATCACACATTTAAACTTAAATTTAGAACTATATTATAGCCCCTTAAATTGTCAAATTAAAATTAGACAATAAATTTCCTTCCAACCGTTACTCGTACGCACAATTGTTAAATTAGCACACTGTTAATTTCATTCACTTAGAGGTCAACCTTACTCAATTTAAGGACTTAATAACTCTCAAAGCCAACCCTCTAATCCCTCTGTAAAACACTAGAGTCAACAGAAACGTTCCCATGCTCCAACAGTATCCAAACAGTTCGTAGAAAAAAAATTCAGAAAACTACTATTTGAAATAGCCTGCTCTAAATTCCAAGAGCAGGCTCTTTTTTTTAGCCTGGAGCCGGCTCTAAGAATGTAGAGCCGGCTCAATGAGTATGGGAGCCGGCTCTCTCACCTCCTTTGAGAGCCTCTGTCCCCGTTCTGCTCCGTTCTGACTTTCTGCTTCTTCTCTGGCATGTTTCTACCCTTCAGTTGGTTTCAAAAACTGATCCTAAGGGTCTTATTAATACCAAAACAGACTCCCAATGGTTTTAGAATAACAATTTGAAATCAAATACAGAGATTTAACTAAGCAATTTACTAGCATGCTTAAAGAGCAAAACTGGAACAGACAAGAACGAATTTATTTCAAACCAATTTCTCAGACAACAGATAATGAAATTTGACATATAATAATCATGCAAGATCCATTTAAGACTCAACAAATTCCCTAGAGTCTAAAATTACAACCGGACTAACAAGCTTTTCCAACAAAACTGAAAACAGATGTGTACGAACTCTGTAATAGATTCGATTACAACCCAAACAGATTATCAATATAACATACAATTAACATGTAAGTTTTAGTTTATAATTTATTTAACCCTAGAGACTACCTAGGTGCACAGAACACAAGCCAAAGGGAAGGAGAAAGTAGAAGAACTTGCCTGTAGCTTTGGTCTCAAAACTGTGTTGTCGTCTTCCTAATTTCTGGCAACCACTGACCACCTTCAAGCCTCCTATGGTTTTGGTTTAATCCACCACAACTCTCCCTTGGCCCTCTCTGTTCTCCTTCTAAGTTTTGTTCTGTTTTTCTCTCGTTCAATTCTCTCCAAACTCTCTGTATTTTCACTGTGTCGTGAATAGGGTTATCAAACCCTAGGGACGTATAAGTTATATATTTATAACTAACTCCAAATCCTAACTCAATAAAAACCCTAAACGTAAATCCTAAGTAATTATGTTGGTAAGCCCATAAAAATACTAAAACCCTAAAAGATAATTCATACACTTAATTTAATTAAACAGTTATGTCCATGTAAGAAAATAATTAATAATACAATTAAAGTAAGAATAGCAACCAAAAATACAATTAATTTAATTAAAATATACTTAACCAAATAAGGCAATTCAAAATACAAAACTAACAGTTTAAAACAAATAAACCAATTAAACATTTAAGCAACTAGTCACATAAAAATGCAATAAAGATAATTGAAAGTCCAATTTTATCCTTTTTAAAACTAGGGGTATTACATTATGCATATAGGGATCAAAGTGCAACATTGACTTAGAGATTATTTATTATTTAATTGGAGTTCAATTAATTTCTTTTAGTGGAGTAGAAATTAATTAATGAATTAATTTAATTGGATCCATGGACTGGGCCAATTATTAATTCATTGTAGCTAAGAAAATAATAAGCCCAATAGGATTCTCACTCATAGCTCAACTGGATATTGGAATCCTATTAAATACGAGATATGTGAATTAGAGATGGAGAATGATTTATTATTTCATTTTCTTATTTTTATGTTACCTATATATACATGGGTTCATGTATATTTTAGGGCAGACTTTTGGAAGAAAAAGAAAAAGGAATATAATTTTTTCTCTCTCTAGATTCTAAGGTTTGCTTTCTCATCTAATGGAGGCTCCCATAAGCCTAGTTTTCGAAGGTCATTCATGGAGGCTTATGGGTGATTCCTAAAGGCAAAACTATTACCAAGAAGATAGAGATCCAAAGAGATGACATCTAACAAAGGGATCTACAATAAGTGAGAACATTCACTTTAAAGGAAAGATTTAAAGGTTTTCTCAAACCTTTGATGTAAGTATTCAATCTATTACTTGAGTGATACATCATATTTTATTTTTGCATAAAACTTGTCTCTATTTGATGAATCAAGATCTATGTAAGAAAATCCCTCAAAAAGTTTTTAAAACTTTCACGTTTCCCAACAACAACAATATAGCTTCTTTCGGTCGATTCAACCTCGCATACCCATCAATGAGACCAGTCCACGAAATGTTATTCTTAGTCTGCATCACTTCAAAGAGAGAACGAGCGAGCTCCAACTCCCTACATTTCATTACACCAGTGATCAAAGCGTTCCAGGTGACGGAGTTTCTCTCAGGCGTTTCATCGAACAACTTCTTCGCTTTGACAACAAACCCACAAACCACATACATATTGACCAGAGCAATTTGCATGTAAACAATAAACATGAAACTCGAATCCCGCTTTGAAAGTAAGACCATTAAATTGCACACCCATTATAGTTCGCTGCAAATTAGTACAAGCTTTGATGAGGAAAGAGTAGGCGAAGTTATCGAACGAGATGGGTCGGTGTGGGTGTTGGAATTGAAGGTGTTTGTAGAGAAGGATAGCTTCTTCGGGGAAGGAACCTAGTGAGTAGTGCCGAAGTATAGTGTTCCAGGTTGTCATAAGCGTTTTAGCAGAGTGTGAAGCATTGGCGATGAGTTGAGAGTGGACTTGTTGAATGGCACGTTGGTTGTCACAGTTTGGATGTTTGAGCAACTGAGGCACCAAGTAATAGTATCTGCGTCCTTGTTTGTCTCCGCGCGCATCACTACACGGTGGAGACCAAATGCTGTTGTTACCGTAGGTGAAAGCCATTTTATATACTGCAGTTGTTGAAAGAATATGTTAAGCCACCTTTTTATACTTAGAATTTTGGGTAATTTACCGTTGCCTCCCCGTACATATGTCAAATTACGCTCGTGTCCCCTCTAATTTGGATATTTACACTTACCTCCCCTCTAAGTGACCGATGTTCGTATCCGGTGACCGGAGTAACAAATTTACCTTTCTACCCTTGTTATTTTAGTGCATTTTAATAATAATAAAAAATCTTCATTGTATATACACACACACACACACACACACACACCTATACTTGCACACACAAAGGTATATATTTATGGGTGTACATGTATATATATTTGCACACACAGAAGTAAATAAAAATCTTCATTGTATATATATATACACATACACGTAGAGCTCGGACCGTCGTACCCGCTGTTCGCCTGTGGGTCGAATCAAGATTGGGTTGTGGTCGTGGAACTGAGTTCGAGGAGCGTCGTGCTCACCATTCATTGTCTTAGGCCGTTCGTGACCGGAATCGTTGTTGTCTTAGGCTATTCGTGACCGCCGTTCTTTGTGGGTCGAATCAAGATCGTGATCTATGGTCGTGTCCTTATGTGACGATTGAGAGGTTGGTTATGGGGTTGATGATGAGGTGATTGAGGAGGAATTGAGAGTGATATGGTTAGGGCTGCAACTTGGGCTGGTCCAACCCAGCCCAGTCCTAACCCAACCTCAACCCGAAGTGGGTTGGGTTGGGCCAGCCTGAATTGTACTTAATATGGGTTATGGTCATAACCCGGACCGAATATTTTCGGGTGGGTTCGGTCGGGTTGACGGGTTGAGTTTTTATTTTTTTAAAAAAATTTGAAAAAATATATATATAATATATTATTTTATTTTATTATATTATTATTAAAAAAAATAAAATATTGTTAGGGCAAATCATTTCAGCCTCCCCTATCGCCTCCATCTCTATTCTCTCTAAACTTGCCCTCTCTCTCTCTTTCCAACTGCAAACTACAAAATCTACAAGAATCAAAAGTTTAAAACCCATATATTTCAATTATATCTATCTGTCTGCAAGAATCAAAAGTTCAAAACCCAGATCAGCACATCATTTCAGATTGTTTAAAAAATCAAAACCCAGATCAGTATATCATTTCAGATTGTTCAAAAAATCAAAACCCAGATCTTTCAGATCTGGATTGTTCAAAAAATCAAAACCTAGATCGGCATATCATTTCGGCATATCTTTCAGTTTTCAAAAAATCAAAACCCAGATCTTTCAGTTTTAACAAATTACAAGTTGTAAAAAGTGGGAAGATTTGTGTTGACAGATCTGGTGATAAAAAGGAGAAGAAATATAGATTATGGAGAGAGAAACATATACATATATCTATTCATATACATATATTTAGAGAGAGAGAGAGAGTTTGGAATTTGAATGGCATCAGCTGCGATATTCTCGTCTCTCTGACGGAGGAAGTCGCCGTCTCTGGAGGCGTTCCTGGCACTGGTGGATCTCGCCGCTGTTTCTCAACTATCAAGCGGTGAAGAGAGAAAAAAGAGAGAGAGAGAAAGAAGAGAGAGGAGAGAGAAAGGAGAATTTTTTTTTTTTTTTTTTTTGTGTTTCGGGTTAAGCCCGAGCCCAACCCGAATATATCTGGGTTTTGACAAAACCCAACCCGAACATGAACCCGATTTGTGAATTTAAAGCCCAATTTTCAAATTTTCAGGTTGGGCTGGGTTAGCCAGCCCAAGTTGCAGCCCTAGATATGGTGTTGGCTCGGTGTTCGAGATTTTCGCCACCGATTGGAAGTGATACTGAATACGTTCTTAGTTCTCTCTCAATTCGAGGCTTGAGATTATTGTCACCGACCGGAACTTAAAGTGGTACTGAATATGTTCTTAGTTCTCTTAGATCAATTTAGGGCTTACATGGTATGTAGGATCAATTTGGGGCTTACATAGTATGTATAGTATGTATGTGTGTATATATATATATACGAGATTAATTTGGGCTTACACAGTGTGCGTGTGTGTGTGTATACAAGAAGATAGAGCCAAAAAAAAATTTTGATTACCAGAAGAGGAGAGAATATGGGATAAAAACCATGGCATATGAGGTATGATTCATAGTAAGGCTATTAGAAGAAATACTACTCATCGTTGTTGGAAAAATCCTCTGATGGATTTCCTTTTCAAATAATTTACCCAAGACTCGATCGCATGTCAAACCAACCTATCACAATCTGACTTAACACATTTCTGCCTTGGAGAGATCCGAAGCAAGATGTTGATCGGTGGAAACAAGATAGAAGAATCTACGTCAGACCTAAAGGTTGTTGCTTTAGGTCGACCTGGTGATTTTGTTATTGTAATTTCTTTAAGGAGGGCAAAATTGTCTTCACGGACATTTCAAGGGTAGTATAGTCATTTTGAGGTTGGGATAGTGATGAGGTCAACCTTGACTACCGTTGATTATGCCGGAAGCTGGTCGGAGGGGTGTATTTGTTACAAAGTTTTAAAATTAAGGGAGATAAGTGTAAATATCCAAACTAGAGGGGATGCGGGCGTAATTTGACCTATCTGTAGGGGGAGGTAACAGTAAATTACTCTAAATTTTTTAACTTTCTGTTGGTTAAAGTACTTTTATTTTAAATTTTATTATATTATCCATAGTCTGTTAGCCTACAAAGTTCTTACACTCGTCAAACTTAATTGAGTTTGTCAACCAACTAGTTACCATATGCCAAGCCCTTTCAGTTAAGTCCACATAAACTACTTAACATAATACATGTTTAATATTTATGAATTACAAGTTTTTTTTATTGTTGTCTATTTACAATGGTATTTTAAAATAAATAAATAATTAAATAACATTGGAGATATGACTTAGTTCGTGTTCAGCCAGGTAGGAATTAATAAGTCCAACTAGGATGGGCGGAGTCGGTGTGTGTAGGGGCACATGTCCCGTTGCCTGGAAGAAATTATTCATTGTAATTGTTACAACGATTAAGTGGTATAATGGATGGCTCCATCCCCCCTCCCGGCCCAAAAAAAAAAATCTTCATTTCTAAATCTATCATCTAAACTTTTCTTTTCTTTTTCTTCTTAAGATTTTACTTTTGTATGTTGTGTTTTTTTACACTATGCCCCTGAATAAAAATCATCCCCTCCCTCCCCCCCTCCCAAAAAAAAGTCTTCATTTCTAAATTTATCATCTAAACTTTTCTTTTCTTTTTCTTCTTAAGATTCTTCTTTTGTATGTTGTATTTTTTTACACTATGCCCCTGAATAAAAATCATTGCTCTGCCCTACTCAAGAATTCAACATCCTAAATCTTTTTTTTATCACTCCGTATTATAGAAAGACAAAACATTAGTGTTGACATGAGTTTGACAAATTGGTGACCATCGGTCCATTGTGCGACCAATACCCAATTACTTTGATGGAGAAGAAATTGCTCCCTGATCCAATCCGTATGGTAATTAATTAATTAACTTTTTTTTTTTTAATTAATAGAAATAAACTAAAACCAAATTGACTAGGCTTTTTTTCTATTATGTTTGTTGTTACTTTCAAAAAAAAAAGTCTTGTGTTTGTCGTTCAACCATACCAGGACAATTAAGAAATTCCCAAAGCATAAAAAAATTCCTTTCCATCGATTCAGCCATAGATGAGAATTGGCAAACCATATCAATAAAATAAAATAAATTCTTTCCAATCCATTCAACCATAGAAGGTTGAAATATAGGAGGGCAGTGGCTCGACCAAACATAGAAGATGGTGGCGTCTCAAAAAAAAAAAAAAATTGTATTGAAGTTGTGATTCCAAAGTGTATGCTGACGTTAGATTAGAGGCATGTGTTTGAAATATTCATGTGCGGAGGTGATTACATAGTACAATTTGGCATGGAGAAAATAAATTATTCATGTAGAATATTTGGAGTTTATTAGCAATGAAATTGTAGGTCTAACTTGTAGGGAAAAAAATTGAGTCTTTGCCTAATATGGATAAAAAAATAGTAAACCATTGAGCTCTTGGAAGGTGAATAGAGCATCTTCAAGAGCTTATATTCACACTATATTTCAAGTTTATTGTATGAATATTATGTATTGTTAATAAATGTAGTTGAGCACATTAGAAAAATTAGGAATTTTAAAAGTTCATTAACAATTTAGGATTAAATTGCTCATAGCTTCTTGGATAAATAATTGATTGAAGTTGTTGTATAAATATTCTGATTAAATCGAGCATATTCATGATGTATTATTGCAATTGACACATTGCCAAGAGATATATAAAATGCAAATTATATCCTAAGATTGCTCAAGACACACATACATTTACATTTTAATATTGATTATAATAAAAATTCAAATTTCAAGTTTGTTTCTTTTCCTAAATGAAGAAAAAATTTATAAATATAGAACAATATAGTACAAGGCAAAAAGTAAGGGCATACCCTCACTAAAACAAGGTCCTACAGGACAAAAACAAAAAGAAGCAGGCATAAGGCCCCTACTTCAAGGCCTTGAAACCATACTTAATTTAGGATATCTTGGAAACAAACCCC